AATGCCTATAACTTCTAAACTATTGGATATTTTGAAAATAATATTTCTTTAAATCTTAAAATATAATATTAGTACCGAAAGTTCTTCTAGCTTAGCTGATAGTGACACATATTACTATGTACTACCGTATACAATTAATTTGAAATAACTGAAACTAGAAGATACTATAGCTATACGTGAGATAGAGACTATTTCTGAGTTCAAAAGCAAATTGACCTCCTACATGTGGGATAAAATTCTGCTGGAGGACTTTGATTATGATCTAGATTATTCCCTTGAGACAGAGATGTGAGGCAGTTTACCTAAAAGCTATAACATTATGTTCATAAGAGCTTAAATCCCTGCTGTCTGTATTTCTCATTTCTCATTTTAGTGCATATCATCACATCATGGATTTCACTTTATTATATGATTTGATTGCTTTTGATATTTTTGTGTGATTATATTTGAAATTCTATTTAAAATTCAAGATTTTCGTGGGCCCATACTTGTGCAGGAGGTGCTTTTTGCTCTCAACATCTGTGTTTTGGTGACCCTCAGGTCCTTTGATTACATACATTTTGTCCTAGAAAATCTTATTTTATCGGAGTCTTATACTTTTGACAATATTTAATGTTGTTCATTCATTGTGTAAATTTGTATGTAATTAAATTGATCGATTTGAAAGATTTCAATTTAAAAAAAATAGTTATACAGTTAATACTAGAATTAGAATTAGTTACTTTACTACAAACACTTAGTAAGTGTAAGCGGCACCCGACTACCATGAGCCTTACTCTTCAGCCCGTGGAGGGGCCCCGGTTTGTTCCTCCTTATAAGCTTAATACTGTAATCTTTATAATTTTATTATGGTTAAGCTATTTTTCCATATTGTTAGTTTTATATAGTCAGGGAAAGAGTGTCAGTTCGTTGGATTTGGATGGCAATAAGGATTTATCAATATCAACTGAATATGGTAATTAGGACCCCTACGAACATAATTTAATTAGACTTGTCGCCAATTTTTTAATCTCGCGGCAACACCACTCTTTTCCACTTTTTACTACCTTTTTATCACCTTTCTGGTTTTGCCAAATATCTTTTGTTGTGAACGTCGTAGAAGGTTGCAAATTAATTGAGGATTTTCATCTTATCAAGGAGAAAAACGTTTATTAGAAAAATGTTGACCTTGAACAATCACCTAATTGGATAATTACCAATTAGCTAATTACCAAATAAAGTTAATTTGTTATTGGGAAAAACTAAAATCACCAATATTTTAAGTTGGAGTTCAGAAATCACTGCAGCTCTGTGTCCCTGACTCAACCGTGTTTTGCACTGCCCCTCAAGTGTAATCTTAAATTACTTTATGTTTATTTCCGGCACTCTTTGGCCATTAAAATAACAAACTCCAATGCAACCTCATGTAGCTACGTTCTGCTACCTCCATGCCAGCACCACCCAGCTACCACCAGTTCATTCTAATTCTAGCTATTTCAAGCAACCTCTGAACTCTGAACTGATACTATGTTACTATGTAATGTATAGTATTAGGTAATAAGCCCAATTTGTACGTGGCACACGTAGTGTACTGATGTGTATAAAACATGAGTATAGTTTACTTTTGATTACAATTTCTTGAATTACAGATACAAGTTAAGTTCTACGGCAATCGAATTGAATTTCAAGTGTTTCCCGTATTTAAAGCATAATTTATCAATATTATTATTATGAAGTGAGCTGATTTAGATTAGAGCTTATACTTATAGTTATACTTATAGTGAATGGAAATCTAGCGTATTGATCATATGATATAAATCTCTATTTACAGAAATTGAATTTGACGGAAATTTAAATGTACTCATATCCTGGACATAATAATAAGTTCGCAGTGGAAACAATTTAATTCAACTATTTCTCTAGACTAAAGATGTGATTTAATTTTTAGTATTAAATTGCGGGGCATGGGCATTAAAGCTACTAGTACTACTAGCATGAACCCATCTTACACTAAAGTGGTGTCAAGATAAACTAATATTTATTCATTTTATGATTTTGACTCCACTTGGGGGTTCAAATTTCGGGCCCTAAAGTCAGTGGCGTAATGTTGCCTGTTGGCGCCCCCCCCCCCCCCCCCCCCCCCCCCGCCGAAAAGCCCCCCTGTTGAACAAATTAGGCGATTTTAGAGGATACGCCGGTAAAGGAGGATACGCAGTTTTGCTAGTTATACTAGTACCTCATTTAAGTTTTTTTAAATTGTCCCACATTCAAACGACCATTTGGTGCCCCCCTAAGATGGCGACAGATATAACCATATTGTCTTGCTTTATATATAGTAAGATAACTATTTATTCAATTACAATTCTTGGCTACTTTTCAGTCGATCACTGCACTTACTGCAAATGAAAAATTATTATATATCTGTGCATGTACTGCTTATTATATGTTTACTGCTTATTATATAAAAATATATGTAGTTATACATAGTTATATCCCGACAAACCAACAGCGAATATTTTGCATCATTATCATATGATTAACTCTGATAGTCTAATTTCTTGAATGATGGATCAAGACGACAAGAAAAAATGAACTTCCAACGAGCTGCGAGTACTGATGAAGATTTAGATGAATCTGAGAATAAAGATACCGGCGATTTCAGCCAAATTAGACCAGATGGGATTCCTATCCCTCTGGGATTACCTATACTTCACGAAAATGATAGAAAAAACTCTTTCGATAACGAATATCGCCAAAAGGTGCAACAGGTGCTGCGGAATTACGAAACAAAAAGGTCTTATTCCCGGAAAAATTCTTTAGACGAGGAAACTGTAACTTGCCTTGCAGTTACTCATGAAGTTTTTGAAATGCAGAATGTAGATGAAATGCAAATAGGATCAAGTAAAAAGAACAATGGATGCTGTGCTTGGCTAAAGAAAGAAATAGAGGCACGAGAAGACAGAACTGATACCCTAACTGATTTAGAAACATTTGAAAGCCTGCAAAAGTTATTTCTCATCATCCAAATGGGGAGTGATATTGAGATGGAATCTTTTCTTGAAAAATACTGCAATCCAGTAAAAATTGTATCAAGATTTGGATGCAAAAGGAAATATCACTCGGAAATAAATCTGGTAAACGCTCGTGATCATTTCGGTAATTGCCCTCTCCTTCTGTCATGTAAAATGGGGTCCTCCAGAAACAATATGACAATGATGCTCCTGAAATATGGGGCCAATCCGAACCAAGTGGATAATAACAAGGATTGTCCTTTAGTCTATGTAGCCCGATCCGTGAGTTTAAAGGTAAAATCTACTGCTACTAATACTGATAATGAGAATATTCTCCGGCAACTACTACGTCATGGAGCAGACATCAAGCAGGCAGTGGATACTCTGTGTGGTACTTTTGAAAATCCCAGGAAAGAAACTCGCACCGCAATGATGTCCCTTACAGCCCTTATCCAACCTGAATTTTTGATGCTTACCAAAGATCCAATTGAAACTGCTCATTATGTAAATTACAAACTCACGATGATCAAAGAAATAATCGTAGAATATACCACCCATTGCATCAACTTAATTGAGACAGGGAGAAAATTTGCATACGATTTCTTGGACAACTGCCAAACACATTGGGAGGCAAGACGACTGCTTTATAGATCTAACCACATCGAGAACGCGTTAGAGACAAAAGAAAAATTGTTCCTGTCGCACCCTTTCTGTCAAGAAATAATCCTCGAAGAATTTTATGGTAGCCAAGACTGCAAGACGTACTGCAAAATGATTTTGCTTATTTTGAAAGGGGTGTATGCAGCGTTCTGGTGTTGCATACATTCATTAAGCCTTATAGTCCTGGTTCCAAAAGGTTACATACATTATACTGCTAATGAAGGTGAAGACCAAATTCCCCCTAGACCTTGGATATACAAGTACAGCTCATTGTATTACTGTGTCCGGACGTTGAAAACACCTTTCTATTCATTCCTCTGCGATGCATTCAATCTTGCAATGCTTTTGGTTCTTTTGGTGTATGTGGCTAGCTCAGTTCCACAAAAGTTCAAAGCTGCCAAAGATAAAGATAATGCCACAAGTAATGAAGTTGATATATTAAAAAGGAGCACAAAGATTGCTCTGCCTGAGCTGCTACTTTGGTTGAGTATTTTATCTAGAGTCCTTACAGAGTTCTACCAGTGCTTCTCAATAGGAGTCAAGAAGTATCGTTCCAACTTTTGGAACTATATTGATGTGTCCATATGTGCTTTACTGACTTTAGGTTGTGGACTCAGGATTTACGGCATCCGAGCAATGTCTAACAATGTGGACATTGAAAACTCGGCAGAAGAGTTCAAAAATACTTTCACTAATGCTATTTACATTTACAGTGAGTATATGTCAATTTCATATGATCTTGCAGGTAGTTTATGGACTATAATGATTCTGTTGCTCAGGATATATTTTCAGATCGTAAATTAACCAAAAATGGCTCCAAAGTAAACTAAAACAGTGACTATTGGCCTTTTTATAGTTTTATCCATTTTCGGCAATTCTTGGGCAAACTTTGGTAATACCCTAGAAAATATCAATGTTTTTAATTTGTTATGTTTGGTTATTGACTCAGATCAATAACGTTTCAGGCATAACACAAGTTTTCGTATTCTTCCGTGTCATGAACTTTCTGGGTGCTACGTGTCTCATAGGACCCTTACAGCTTGCAGTGAGGCGGATGTTTTATGATGTCTTCAAACTATCAGTTATCCTTGTCATAATCGTGATGGGTAAGTAAATGCTATGTTTTGATTAATTAATGCATTAATTAGTAGGAATCGCAATAATTATGTGTTAAATCATGGTTTTGCCTTACGAGTAACTTTGACTTTATATCAAGAGTGAAGAGCCTTTGAAAACAATATAATCAATAATTAAAACTAATTTATCAACAGGCTTTGTCTGTGCGATCTACAGCGTGGCTAGCTGTTATAGAAACGTATGGATTGATTTTAATTCCACATCAAACTCCACGGAGGAGAGCGGAGACAATATGTTCGAGCAGTTCAAAACTTTTAGTGAAACATTGATCACCGTTACTTGGTCTCTCTTTGACATCTTTCAGTATGACGTAGGTTTTATTTTTAATTTTACATATTTTACTATTATTAACTTTACATTCAAAGATGAAATTCTTATCGATCGTATAAAGATATAATACTATTATCAGCCAAAAATAAATTCTTATTGCATAACTACATCTTTTTGTTAATAAATAGTTAAATAAATAGAGTAAATTCTTATTACATTTATATCAGGGTCTATTACATTCGCACGTAGTAACCTACCGGATAATACTTGTTCTAGTTCTCGTCCACTCTATAATCGGAACAGTTATCATACTAAACATGCTCATTGCTATGCTCAACAACACGTGAGTTATTAATAAGGATTATCATTAAAGAATAAAGCTTTATTTTTAATTCTTGGTAACATGTTTGAATTATGAAAGAAAATTAAGTAAGGTATTGTGTCAAAATAATTGTCCTGAATTTAAAATTTGACAGGTACCAACAGATACAAGAAAACGTCGATATGGAGTGGAAGTTCTCCAGAAGTGCATTATTCTCGGTAAGTTAAAAACCTGAAATGAAAACATGATGAATAACATATTCGGAAACGTTGAGCAGTTCAAGTCTAAACTTATCTAAAATAAATCATGAAGATAAACCAAATTATAATCATTTATAGATTTATCAGCTTCCAAAAATACAACTAGAATCTTTCCTATATTATTTTGATATAGGATGTCTTCTCAGGAGTACAAAGAAGGTATTCCATGGCTATTCCCATTCAGTTTAATAGTGATCCCCTTGTGTTTGGCATGTAGGGCATATAACAGTTATGCAAAGTGGCGTACAAACGGTAACAAATAAATACAAGTTTAGAAACAAATCTAAATAAAAGTAGTTAAGACATGATAATAATCAACCACTATATATTTTATAATCTGTGCGATGTATGTTATTGTTTGGTCCACATTTCGGTTTTAATCTAAGATAAATATTGCTTATTACGATTTTTCGAGAAGAAAATATAAATACAATATTTATTTACGTTAGCTTATTTGGGCTGAAAACTATCATATTAAGTTCATAAAAATTGGAGTATGGGCATATGGTTTTGGCTCAGCTATTTTTTGTTAGCTAGGTTAGCTGATTTTAAAATATTTACAGATAAGGATAAAAAACATGCCAGCTTACAATATGGAAAAGGGCTAGATTTGGAGAGTGACGTTAGAGATACTGAAGTTAATTCAGGGCACGTAAGTATACAATTACAAATTGACTAATTTAAAAGCTTGTAACGATTTCATCTTTTGGAAGATAAAACGATGATTTTTAAAAAGACTTCGTTTTTGGTAATGAGCTTTATTATGTAAAAATGCAGCGTATTTTTTATTTTTTATCTCGATAATGGCAAAAGGATGATCATGATATAAATAACGAAGATTGGACGGCAATTTTGAAACGTGGAAGTTATGATTTTCAGATTTTTACCTAAATTTAATTGTGTGTTTTAGATTATATTTGTCCTAGTATACTAATAAACTAATATAGTAATCGGCTACACATATATCTACGCATATTTAGGGACACACACACTAAAATTAATGGAAATAATTACCGGACTTTATTATTCACGGACCTTATAAATACCACAGAAATTATTTTCACGGACTTAATTATTCACGCTAAGGTCTTCATTGTACTTGTAGGTTTATAACCTACCAGGACGCGCGCTGAGTTGGACTCGTCGACGGTCCCAATATAATTGGAACAAATATTTTACGAGTATCACCCGTTAAATTAAAAGTCTTCAGCGTGAAAGTAATGTCCGTGAAAATTATGACCGATACGGTAGTTATGTCTTCATGCACTCGTAAAATGAAAAATACTTATTTTTTAAATGTTTCTTTTATCGTCATTGGAACATTTGTCGTTCAGTCCTTCAAGACACTGACAGTTATCACTTTATTTATTTACAGATAGTAGCCGACGAGACGGATGGGATAGTTGTAGAGGCAGCGTTTATAAAGCCGGACCTAGAAGACCCGGATCCGGTGAAGCATGAAATCCAAATGAGGTACCTTCTGATCAACATGCTGGGAAGAAGACACTCGCAGCGAAAGTATTGCTCTAATCAGAGCCCTTGCGCTTATAATTACAGTGGCGCGAAAGTACATGGCTAGGTGCAGAAGCCAAAGTATAAGAATGAACTTTTACTTGTTTATCTAAACAACGTTTTAAAACTAAATCTTACAACCTGATCACGATTTTATAAATAATTATAAACGACTCATTCAGTTTTAGCAAGAGGTGGAACCAAAATGATAAATATAAAAATCAAATGTGATTCGTGTTATTATGTTTATACAGCGGTTATTAATATTACTTATGAGCTCTTCCTTTAGGCATGAAAAATAATGACTTGGTCGAATGTTGAAATGACAATTTAATTTGATGATTGTTTATCGCTTCGAACATAATTAAGGTTTTGTTGGCATTGGTATTGATATTTGATTATTTTATAAGTAACCAGTTAACCAATAATTACCTAGCTTATATAAGCTATAACATTTTCCTAAGTATTTAAATAACAAGTGGACAGCTATAAATGTGACCACTGAATGCCAGAATGCAATGTTTATAATGAATATTAAGTTGATTAATCCCGGTGTAACTCCTTAAACGTAACTCTCTACTTGATGTAGAATTTTTAATATTTTGTGATTCTAATTACTAACCCCAATAAACCACAACAAATTATCAAAGTTTGTTGATAGTTTATAATCGTGTTGCAGGTTATGTCATTATTTGTTGAGGACGTGTGGAAATTAAACGGTTAAAATTAAATTACTTTTTAATACGATTATCAATGTTAAAAATTATTTAAAAAAATGTTATTTTAAAATGTTATTTTAATTTTTAACGATGGTTTGAATCTTTTCATTTCTTAAAATCCATTTTTAGCCATTTTAATCATTGTTGTTAGTGCAATTATTATAATTTTGGATATCAGTTTAGTTTTTTGAAATTGTTGTCATTTCATCAATGTTTTTATCATTATGATTGTAATTATTTCGGTTCTTTTGCGATAGTCAAAACGCGACAACTAGCGCTGGATAGCGATAACTAGCGCTATCCAGCGCTAGTTGTCGCCATCCAGCGCTAGTTGTCGCGCAATCCAGCGCTAGTTGTCGCTGGCTATGCGACACTGTCGCACGCGATAGTTTGCGATGGCCAGCGCAACTGGCCATCGCAGAAAACAGTTCGATAACTAGCGCTGGATAGCGACAACTAGCGCTGGCCAGCGACAACTAGCGCTGGATGGCGACAACTAGCGCTGGCCATCGAAAGCCAGCGCAAAATGTTTGCGATATTACTCGTCAGCTAGCGCTGGCCAGCGCTATCCAGCGCTAACCAGCGCTAACCAGCGCAATGCCAATGTATCAAAATCAAATACTTGCGATATTACTATATACTTACAATATTACTATTAGTATTAGAATAGAGATTCGGCCGATATGTTTGCGGATATGTTTGCGATATTACTCGTCAGCTAGCGCTGGCCAGCGCTATCCAGCGCTAACCAGCGCTAACCAGCGCTAACCAGCGCTGGCTAGCGCTGGCTAGCGCTGGCCAGCGCTATCCAGCGCTAACCATGCAGCGCTAGCCAGCGCTAGCCAGCGCTGGCCAGCGCAATGCCAATGTATCAAAATCAAATACTTGCGATATTACTATTAGTATTATATACAGACTTGCAATATTACTATTAATATTGACTTACTTGACTTAAGGCGGCTTCAGCGTCCGAGTATTGATGCGCTGTCTCCATAAAACTCTATCCGCCATAAGTCCGCCCATTTCTCCAGTGTCGTTGAGACCCGTGTCAGCTCGTAGGCTATCAACATAGGTCATGGCTGGTCTCCCCCTACTCCGCACCCCATGAGTTGGTTCCCAGAGTAGCAAGCGGTTTGCGACTAGTTCTGGGTGCCGGTGGATATGGCCTGCTAGTCGCATCCTGCGCTCTTGGATCTTCATGGTTGCTCTCGGTAGGTTGCCATAGACTTCTTTGTTGGTTTTTCGCTGCTTCCAATCCACATTAAGTGCCATCCTTAGCATTCTAGTGTAGCAGCCATCAATGCGTTTCTTCAATTGCTCTGTCAACGTCCACGTTTCAGAACCATAAAGAAGTATTGACTCCACAGTAGCAACAAATAGACGGATCTTTAGTCCTCTTCTAAGGTCAGACTTCCACATCTTCTTTAGCTTGTGGCAGGCTGCCCAAGCCTTAGCTTTTCTGACCCGCAGGTCCCTCTCTGTTGTTGCTATCCAAGCTCCAAGGTAAACAAAGTCTGTCACCTTTTCCAGCTGGTTTCCAGAACAGCTATTAAGACTACTCGCCTCCTCTGTCATGTTCAGAGTCATGAACTTAGTTTTAGAGCCGTTCATGGCTAGCCCAACACTCAGTGCTGCTTTCTCAAGCCTGTCCAGGAGTAGTTTTGCCCCTTCAATGGTATCAGTGATAAGGGCAACATCATCTGCAAACTCGACGTCTGCGATCTTCTCGGCACCAATCCTTCTACTCCGTGCAGGCCTGAGAGTAAACCCAGAGTCCGAGTCATCATCGTCTATAGACACTGTCATGATATAGTCAATCACGATAATGAACAAGTACGGGGCAAGAGTGTCTCCTTGCAGTACTCCAGCCAGGATATCAAAAATTTCTGTTATACCATCGGCTGTAACTACTTTAGCCTTTGTGCTCGTATAGATACCCTCAATGAGCCGCACTATGGCTTCTGGTATGCCATATGCTTTCAATATCTTCATGAGCAAACCTGATCTATGCACACTATCGAACGCCTTTTTGAAATCAATGAAAACCATGGTGGCCTTAAGATTTTTGGCTCTAGCACCCTCCATAATTCTTCGTAGAGCAAGGATGTGCGATGTTGTAGAGCGCCCAGGTCTAAAGCCATTCTGGTTGTCCCTTAAAACTTCCTCAAGACTTGGCTTCATCCTGTTCAGCAACATTTTGTTCAGAGTTTTACTGACTATCGATGTCAGAGATATTCCTCTGTAGTTGTCGGTCTTAGTGAGGTCCCCTTTCTTTGGCACAGGAACAATATTACTGAGCTTCCATTGATCGGGCATGAGACCATCACATAATGCATCGTTGCAGAACTTCAGGATGACGTCATCGATGTCCACCCTCTTCATCACTTCAGGTGAGATACCGTCATCACCATAAGCTTTGCCTTCTACTATCTGCTTTTTGGCAAGACGTAGTTCCTCAATGGTGAACGGGCCATCCTCTATATTCAGTGGAGGGTGTATATTCCTGATCGGAATACTATTGTCAGGGACTGTGGGTGGCTGTCCAAGTAACCCAGAGAAGTGCTTCCTCCAGTTCTCAAGACGTTCTGTTGAGCTGCCCCCTTCCACGAGTCCACAGCTGGGATTTGTCCTCCCTGAAATATCGTTGACAAGCTTCCAGCTTTCCTTGTTCTTACAACGATCAGCAGTATCCTCAACTTTCCTGATCTTTCCTTTCAGGATCTCCTCCTCTACCTCTTTGTAGCAGGCCTTTAACAAATCCTTTTTAGTGGCAACTTCCTCTCTCTTCTCCTCACAAGGCTCCTGATGGTATTGGTCCTTGGCCAAGAACAGTCCCCTCCTTGCACTGTCCACTCTTGGGTCACTTGAGGGGTCGATCTGCTTTTGTCGAGTCTTCTTTGGCAGAAGGCTCTTGTTTGCCGCCTCAATAGAAACCATAAGCTTCCCGTAGCTTTCAGTGGCCCCATCATCCTCCTCTACCAGGCAAGAGAATCTATTCCGAACTTCAATTGCATACTTTTTTTGAAGCTCACCATCCGACTTCAGGGCACTATAATCATAGTTAACTTTTTTCGGAGGCCTGTGTCCTTTCCTAAAGCTAACTTTGATCTTACACACTACAACTCTGTGATCAGATCCCAACGACTGAAAAGTGTTGTAAACTTCAGTGTTCTTTAATGAGTTTTTCCACTTCCGCCGTATGAGGATATAGTCAATCTGACCTTTGTTAAGTGTCCCATCGGATAAGAAGGTCCACCTCTTGTTGACCTTTTTTCTGAAGCGGATATTGGTAATTTCCATATCGCACTCCAGGGCAGTGTCTCTCAGTAGCTCTCCATTCCGATTGGTACGAGTATGAAAGTACCAACGGGAATCTTCTTCACTCTCCTTTCCAAGCCGGGCGTTCATATCTCCCTCTGTGATCAGCAGGTGGTGCGCTGGCACATCATTCATAGCCTGTCTAAGGGTGTTATGAAAATCCTCCGCTTCTTCAACTAGTGCTGCCTCGGTAGGACTATAGGCAGTTATAGTTGTGAGTCTGGGATTTCCGTTGAAAGAGATAGTCAGCACCCTTGAGCCATAGGGTTTAATGAGGCTGATTGCGCTGTATGCTCTTCTAGTCAGCAGAAAGCCCACTCCACCAGTGGCTGCTCCTGCTCCATTCCTCCATGCTGAAACAGTTACCAAGCTAACCCCCTCCTTGAACTTTTCGATCTTGATCGGCTCCTGGTGGACAATCCTATGTTCTTGGATCCCAAGGATCTCCATGCCACTCTCCAGAAACTGAGTCACGAGTTCAATGCGCTTGTAACCTTCTCTAGCAGTTCGGACATTAAATGTCCCTACTAGAGCTACCTCACTACAAGAAACCAATGCATCACCATCCTTTTTTGTTGTTTTATGTTATTTTTTGTGCCGGGTGAAGGAGCCGGCATATCATCTGTCACCCCTCTCCTAGGGAGTTTTAGGGTGAGAGAGTCATCAATCCGGTCCCCTCCGACATCTAAATCAGTGGTAGGGACTTTAACCCTACTGTTATTATAAGACATCATCAAACTTTTCAATGGCTGGTGTCTCATGCGCAGTCCCCTGCACATCAGGCAAAGTGAGACACCTACTTAACGCCGGGCGCCACTTGAGCGTTAAATGACTTATCCATCTTGGCCACTTGAGTAACAACTTCCGCTAGAACACTTGTTGCTACTAATCAGTAAGAGTGGGTTTTGTGATGATGTCCTGTCGTTGTATTATTTCTTCTTTCTTCACCAATTCCAGTAAATGACTATACGCTTTTGTCCCAAAGCTTAGGGAGATTAGAGTGTGAGCCAAGGCTCCACTTTTACGGGGGCTAACCTTCCCCCTGACTACCTCGTTACCCCAGGCATGGGGGGCCGATCCTGTTACCAGAGCGTGGTCCAGTTTACCTGGGTCATAGAAACAAGGTCAGAGGCAAACGGCCAATACCTCTTTAGCTACTGTTCACTCCACAGCCAGTAATATTAATATTACTATTATGTATTAGAATAGAGATTCGGCGGAATGACAGGCTGAGCGCCGCCCAGTAAGTTGATCAGCTCCGCCCAGCTAGTAAGCCAACGCTAGCTGACGATTGTAAATGTAGGTTTATAACTGTACCTTTACAAATATATGCGCACCGAGTTGGACTTGGATTTGAAAAAATATTTCCAATTTTACGAGTATCAGTTTCACCCGTTAAGCTGACAAAAAATATTGCAAATATTTTGCGCTGGCCAGCGCTGGCTGAAGAGTAATAAGTATATGATTTTGATACATTTCGCTGGCCAGCGCTGGCCAACGCTGGTTAGCGCTGGATAGCGCTGGCCAGCGCTGGTTAGCGCTGGTTAGCGCTGGTTAGCGCTGGTTAGCGCTGGTTAGCGCTGGTTAGCGCTGGTTAGCGCTGGTTAGCGCTGGTTAGCGCTGGTTAGCGCTGGCCAGCGCTGGCTAGCGCTGGCCAGCGCTGGTTGTCGCTATCCAGCGCTAGTTGTCGCTATCCAGCGCTAGTTATCGAACTGTTTTCTGCGATGGCCAGTTGCGCTGGCCATCGCAAACTATCGCGTGCGACAGTGTCGCATAGCCAGCGACAACTAGCGCTGGATAGCGACAACTAGCGCTGGATGGCGACAACTAGCGCTGGATGGCGACAACTATAGCGCTGGATAGCGACAATTATCGAACATATATATTTTGCGCTGGCCAGCGTTATCCAGCGCTGGATAGCGACAACTAGCGCTGGATGGCGACAACTAGCGCTGGATAGCGCTAGTTGTCGCCATCCAGCGCTAGTTGCTACACGTTGTATACCTCTCGTGCACGCAAAGCGTGCACGCCGGCCGCGCGATCAAAAGGGGTTGCAGCGTGTGTCAAAGCGCTAGTTGTCGCGTTTTGACTATCGCAAAAGAACCATTATTTCCTTTTTTAAATACGGTGTAATTATTGATTACTAGCACATATCATGCAGCTCATAGTGATATTAATTCGTGATTAAACTCATTTTGGGGAAGATAGACTTCCATGTCATCCAACTTTATTTCATTTGATATGATAATAAGTTTAAACTTTTACTCCTAGCGAGGAAAATTGAATGTTTACCAAACCATAGCATGATCTGCAAAGTTTAACGGTTCAAACAATGCGATTTATCTGCCGCCATGTTAGTTCATAATCTAATGTTAATATTTTATGCTAATCGTTTGTATTTATTTTTACCAATTGAAATCATTTACTAGATCAATTTTATCAAATGTAAATTCATAATTTTGAAATTAACAAAACCACAAATCTTTGAAAATTGTCGGTAAAACCAAAACATATTATGATCAAAGATAAAATTTAAATCCACCCAAAAGATCCTAAAAAGTTTCATCTGGTCGTCATTGTCGCAGTCTGCAAAGACCAACAAATATATAAGATTTTGGAGAGGTTCGCTGTTTATCAGTCTTATGATAAGATAATGATTTTTGGGATAATATCCGGTAGTATAGAGACTATGTAGGACAAGTGAAATTACTCCTAAACTACTCCTAAACAGTAGTTTCACTTGTCCTACCTAGTCTCTACTACCGGATATTATCCCAAAAATCATTATCAACAAATATATGCCTTATTACGCATTGTATCCTTCGACAGAACTTCCATAAATCAAAGGTTTCTCGTCCAGTTGGCTCTGAAACGAATTCAGGATATGAAGTTGAAGTTGATTCACAATTTAATTACATTTCATTGACTTCATCAAAGTAATTATAATATATCAGTACGTGTGATAGAAATTATTTTTAGAAATTAGAAAGATCTTTACAATTTAACACATGCGTCAGATCAAAACTTTTAAAAAAATTATTCAACCAAATTCTGTAATCATACGAAAAATAAAAGAAATGAAGTCAAAATAATATACACACGCTACTTAGGACGTCCGCAAAAATTTGAGCAAACATTAAAATGAACGCTATATATAATATAATAGGGCCTGTCATGTAGCGTCCAATTAATGTCCGTTCAAATATGGTCCGATGAGGTAACCAGGCGTGATATACAAATTTTGGGCTCTAAAACTCCTATTTCTTGGCCAATTTTTTGTTTTTTCATGCTGATTTGGAGGCCATTAAAGCATTTGGCCCAAGTTTCAATTGTATATCTTTTACGGCTTTTGCGGAAAGTCGCGTTAAAGTTGATGCCGTGGTGTCAGTAAAATCGTACGGATCCATATATATATATATCGTCTCGCTTTATATATAGTAAGATATGAAATATACACACTACTAACCATACTGGCAGGAGTAGTACGAGGATCCCAGGTAACTCCCCCAGGTTGCACGTAGTTCCTCCTCTTCATACAGACTAGCAGGAAACCAAAACAAACTGACACCGCCACCCCGCATGTCATGCCTATAAACGCAGCTGAAAAGAAAATGAGTGAAAATACTATACAGTTATGTAGGTTTATAACCTACTGCAAGACGCGCACCGAGTTGGACTCGTCGACGGTTTGGACTCGTCGACGCTCTCTTTAACATTTGAAACAAATATTTTACGAGTATCACCCGTTTAAAATACAGGGGATAACTGATTTCAAGAATCCTGTCTTTGGTAAGTTTCTCTATCCAAGAAGGATGGAAAAACATAAGGCGTAAAATATAACGTTGCTAAATGTTATGGAGATTTAAGACTGCTTGATTTCCTAAAAAGTTACATATCAAACAAGTTTTTGTATGCTCAGGAATCAAAGAAAATATTGGCATCATCTTCGAAAGGATGTTAAAGAACATCATGGATGTAAATCCTCAAACGGTTTCTATAACTATAAGTATAAACAGAACAAAATACATAAAAATAAACGAATAAGCGGGATTATGATCGCAACTCACATTTCCAAAAGTCACTATCAGGACTTATGTCCCTAAACTTGTAGTTTTTGATTTTCATATTCTTCCGAGGGTTGCTCTCGTTCGATATGTTATCCTGATATAATATGTCCGGTTAAGACGTGTTCGATATGTTATCCTGATATAATATGTCCGGTTAAGACGTGTTCGATATGTTATCCTGATATAATATGTCCGGTTAAGACATGTTCGATATGTTATCCTGATATAATATGTCCGGTTAAGACGTGTTCGATATGTTATCCTGATATAATATGTCCGGTTAAGACATGTTCGATATGTTATCCTGATATAATATGTCCGGTTAAGACATGTTCGATATGTTATCCTGATATAATATGTCCGGTTAAGACATGTTCGATATGTTATCCTGATATAATATGTCCGGTTAAGACAAGTTCGATATGTTATCCTGATATAATATGTCCGGTTAAGACATGTTCGATATGTTATCCTGATATAATATGTCCGGTTAAGACATGTTCGATATGTTATCCTGATATAATATGTCCGGTTAAGTTAAGACATGATATTCTCAAATATACAATCACTATAATTGTCTGACTAAACTTGTACCTCCTCACAATTTGACAGGTACAAGTTATAAGCTCACTGGAAATATCTCACTTCGTTTAAAAATCAAAACAAGTACTGATAAGATCAGGCACAATTAACCTGGGTAGCATTGGAGCATTGATCCTGACAGTCAACGGTGGCACAATAGATACAATCATTACAGCTTAGCGTGTAGGGGCTGTAGAACAAACCTTCGTTACATGTGGTACCTGAGATACAGTAGATCAGGTGTCTGAGGTTACACGTGGTACCTGAGATACAGTAGATTAGGTACCTGAGGCTACACGTGGTACCTGAGATACAGTAGATCAGGTGTCTGAGGTTACACGTGGTACCTGAGATACAGTAGATTAGGTGTCTGATGTTACACGTGGTAACTGAGATACAGTAGATTAGGTGTCTGAGGTTACACGTGGTACCTGAGATACAGTAGATTTTACCTGGGGACCCCAGGCTATTATATTTATGTTCATAATCATATGAATCTCCGAATGGAGATTTGGAATGACAGGCTGACAGAGGCACATATTAGGTGCGGTAAAAAAATCGAAATTATGCGGTACCGCACCCGACTATAAAGGTAAAATGTGCGGTAAGGTGCGGTAAATTTTTACCAATTATGCGGCAAATGTGCGACGATTTTTTCGAAATTTGTGCGGGAATTGTGCGGTTTTCATTTGTATTTTCTGAAGGACTTTGGAAATTCTGAACGTATAACCGCCGCTCTTATCAAAAATAGGTCTGTTTATGTGTTACTGAGGGTGTAGTTCTTTACTAAGTCCATGATTGAACCTATATTGAGATCCAGTTATCTGAGAACAGTGACTTGATCTGGTAGAGATCAGGAGACAGTTATTTGAAGACGCCTCTTGATAGAGTCGATCAGATCCCAAGCGTGATCGCAAATATGTGACACGCTTGTTGGCATTGATCGTCAGTACTTGTAAACCATTTGATCCAAGATCCATTAAGCCCACTATAAAGCCAACGCTACAACGAATAGAGCTCATTACCCGATATAAAGGGCTGCAGGTATGATCGAAGTACGGTAACGACGAGGGTTCCATAACGGCCTGGGTCACGGTCCCGAAAGGGCCTGGGTAACGGTCCCGAAAGGGCCTGGGTCATGGACCGTCATGGTCCCGAAAGGGCCTGGGTCACGTGGTAACCGGGTCACGTGGCCTAGGCATGGGTTCCAAAAGGGCCTGGGTAACGGTCCCGAAAGGGCCTGGGTCATGGACCGTCATGGTCCCGAAAGGGCCTGGGTCACGTGGTAACCGGGTCACGTGGCCTAGGCATGGGTCCCGAAAAGGCCTGGGTCACGTGGTAACTGGGTCACGTGGCCTAGGTATGAGTTCCAAAAGGGCCTGGGTCACGGTCCCGAAAGGGCCTGGGTCAGGGTCCCGAAAGGGCCTGGGTCAGGGTCCCGAAAGGGCCTGGGTCACGTGGCCTAGGTATGAGTTCCAAAAGGGCCTGGGTCACGGTCCTAAAAGGGCCTGAGTCACGGTCCTAAAAGGGCCCGACTTTTAACATATTTTGGTTTTTACACTCGAAAATCTTAACGCGAAAATTTCAAAATTATGCGAAATTAAGCGGAAAATGCTAGATTATGCGGAAATATGCAGAAAATTACAAAATGTGCGGAAAACAATGAATTATGCGGAAATGTGCGGAAAACGGTAAATTGTGCGATCCCGCACCCATCGCACCTAATATGTGCATCTGCAGGCTGAGCGCCGCCTGCAGCAGTAACAGTAGATAAGGTAGGTACCTGAGGTTGAATTGGTGCTCATAATTGGTGCGTGTTCGACTTTAGGTTCTTGTAGATGCTGTAACTAATACTAGTTGAACATTACAGTTATCTCCTGATAGGGTCGGATTCACTTATTTCACAGATAACGTGGGGAACATGCACTCTCACTACTCTGGATACTTACTACTGGACTGAAAGAGGGAGGTAGCAAGACTTTCAAACCACTCGTTCAACAAAGCCAACTGCTGCTCGAACAACTCATCTGATAGACTGGTTAGTGTTTCGTTGCGATCTGACAGGGTTGCAAGGTCAGAGAACAGTAAGTTAGCATATAGAAAGGAAGTGTATGTAACTAAATATTGGTTACTAGATTACTGGGGGACTGGCTACTAGGCTACTACTAGGTTACTAGGCTACTGGTTACTAGGCTACTGGTTACTAGCCCGATTTACCGCGGCCATTTTCTTTTCCTCAAATAGGGCTTAACATGCATAATGCAAACAAACAAAACCCCGATTTACCGCGAACCCCTATTTACCGCGGATGTTTTTCTTTCCCCAAACCCTGCGGTAAATCGGTGTTTACTTACCTTGGTTAGCAGGACATTCTGTGTACTGAGTGGTAGGTTGGGAACACTCTGACTCCCATTGAGAATACTTGCTGTCAAACGTATCTGAACACCTGGAGAAGAGATACCATTTATCAAAAAATACACAATGTATACGTTATCTATATGCTATGTGTATACATAATGTACATTGTACAGGTATAGTGTATGCACAATGTGTATGTTTTGAAAATTTTATAGCAGAAACATCAATTGAGTACTTGACAGTGTCTATGTCAAGGATTGGATGACTATACCAAATCCATCTTTGATATTAGTAATTTGACCAAAACCCATAATCATGGGTAGAGTGAACCGCTGCCAGTGTCTCTCTTTTTCAAACAAAAGGAAATGATATTAATTTGAGGAACCGTCCGCAAATGCAAATTGATACCGAGAATGAAATCGGTCGCTCGCTTTTCCCATTCAATAAGCTTTATTACAATTCGTAAGCCGTGAATGAATGGGAAAAGCGAGCGACCGATTTCATTCTCGGTATCAATTTGCATTTGCGGACGGTTCCTCAAATTAATATCATTTCCTTTTGTTTGAAAAAGAGAGACACTGGCAGCGGTTCACTCTACCCATGATTATGGGTTTTGGTCAAATATCATCTCTTTTTGATTATAATGTCAGGATAATTTACACAGTCGAAACTTCATTAATAAGGAGGTAATTTCAACAATTTTGAAATTTCACCTTTGAAAACGTTTCCTTGTGTTCAGGTAGGTTTATCTGTCGATAACAGACTGAATATGGCACTTTTTACTCATTCAAGTTGGCATTTAATTCATATATAATGCCATTTAAATATCGTGGGAAAGCAGAATATATTCGAAATCACGAATGAGCAAAATTCTCACCTTTCGCACATGCAAACTTTGAGCGGACGTTGCGTGCGCATACAATATTGAATCACCGTAAATTTTTGCATAGTGGTATTTAATATATAGTTTGATAAGCATGCAAAGTTTCAGAAGATTTCAAAAAGAACTTGGATCACAACGGGACTCCAAAAATAACAATGTGAAAATAACAATTTTCAGTGATTTTAGCTATTTTAAATCAATTTGGGCGTGTCCCCACGTGTGCAACTTTTCGATTTTTAACTTTAAAACTAGCCTATAACACAATTTAGACCTTTAAGAAGTAAAATTGAGCTCCACAACCCAACAGATGGCCCAACACCAGAGAATACTAATTCACAACTTTTGTGTTTTTATAAAATTATTCTTCAAAAAAGCACTAACTTCAATAGCGAATATTTTAATGAAGGAGTAAGGTAAGAAACTTTTCCGGTAGATTTTCAGAATGCTTGAACAATTATCTAAGGTGAAAATGTCCTCAGATTTTGAATAAAATTACTCCTTAATGGTGTAAAATCGATTTGAAAAGTTGTTATTTTGTCAAAAATCAAGTTTTAAAAACACTTAAATTGATGACGTCATCAAGTGATGATGATGACGATAAATTATTTTTCAATATAAAGTAAACTAAAGTATAAACGATTATCTTTAAAAGCTGTGGTTCGAAATGACTGTATCTTTTATACTTTTGAATCTACGGACACTTAAATGTAGGCTACAATTGACTGCAAAAAGCGTCTATACATACATACATATTATATATGCTTCACGACAATCTGTTGTAAAACAGGGGTTCCAGAAAACCCACTTCCCGATACTCCTGAAACATGAAATTTTTTTTACAGTCGATTTGGACAAGGTCTAGACGCCCTGCAACGTTTCAGATCTCTGACTCAATTTTAACATGGTTTTTAAGGCACCTGAATATGGCGATTTTGGGTTTTTTACCTAATTTCGTATAACATGCTGGCGCGTATTTTGCGCAAATTTCTTAAAAACCTCCACATAACTATTTCTTATTCCTGTCATCTTTAACATTGAATTAGAATGTTTTGAACTTAAATATACCTGCTGAATTACTTTCGATGAGTCTTAATGCCTGGAAAACAATAAAGGGGATATAATAGTATAGGGGGTAAATAGTGTTGTGAATATAAGGGCAACGGTTATGCTTGCCAGCATTGTGAAACATGTGCTTATACAGTATACTTGCAGTAAGACTAAGGTGGAATGAAAACTTAAATCAAGCTTAAAGTGCTCTCGTATATATTTATTATTATTTAATAAATGATAAATTAAATTTATCAGGAATATAAATATGCAACATTGAGTTTTGTTAAACTTATAGTATTACCTCTGCAGTGCGTCACACCACATACAGGAAAACTGAGTACTTTTACCTATGTCCAGACAGGTCGTACAGTTGGTGGCTGCCTGAAGAGTTAAAGTTAAATAGATTTAAAGTAGATTTAAAGTAGATTTAAAGTAGATTTAAAGTAGATTTAAAGTAGATTTAAAGTAGATTTAAAGTAGATTTAAAGTAAATTTAAAGTAGATTTAAAGTAGATTTAAAGTTTAGTAGGTTTATTTAGATGCAGGGAAACTATCGGACTACAATTAATGGGGACATGTCGCCCCTTTGAGGTTGGGGAAAACATGACGTTATAAAGGTTACTATGGGTTATTTCTCACATAAAAAAGTAATTTATTGCCAAAGATAGGTAAAACTTAATACGGAATACTAATTGTACTGCATTGATGGCAAAAAGGTAACAACATTTCATTCTTGATGAAGCTGAAGATTGAAATATTTAAAAAAGATTCCGTTGTTTGAACTTCATATTTTTATGTGATTGATCCTATTATTTGAACTGTATTGTGTCCCCAATATTTACACAGGCGAATGATACATCTGAATGTTTTATATTTTTATAGCCGTGGGCCCCTTTGTTTATCTATTTATCTGATCTATTCTACCTTCTAAGCTTCTTCAACATAAGTGTCATTGTTCTACCTCTGATCCAATTTTAAAACTTAGTTTCTTACCAAGCAGTTTTCACGTAGGTTGAAGGTGATAGCAGTACCATTTTTAATATTTTTCGTATCCACATTGACCTCCTCGTATTCGTAGTACATGAGATCTTTAGATGCTGTGGAGTGTGGATGTGGTGACATATTATACATTTTTGTTTTCCAGCAAATATTTCGAGTAGTTGGATGGGTAATCATTATGTTTGATATAAATCAGCGATCAATTATTTTTGTAGATAGTCTCTTTACCTTGGTTAGCCGGTGTGACCCAGGGAAAAGCGCTGACGATTGAAACAAGCGACCAATCCAAAAGTCCTTCAGACACATTCCGGTATACAAACACAATGGAGCCATTCTGGAGATGTAGGTTCACAGTTACTTCACAGTACTTACTGCTGGCATTGTACCACAACTTATATCAATATCAAAACAGTCAAATCTCTTTATAGGGACACTTTATTAGGACACTAATCACTGCCATTCGATAAAGAGTGTTTTATACATGCAATATTAAGTAAGTAAAAAGACGCACTTGATAAAGTTGAAGCTGAAATGTAGTTGAGTAGTCAAGGAGAGTCAGATCCGCCCATTCCAGAACAAAGAACGAGTTTCCTGAGAAAGTTAAGTTGTCAGCAGACAGCAATTGCTTCTTATGGTGCTTATCTAACAGCTTAATCAGTAACAATCAGTAACACGACTACATCAGTAACACGAATTTTGTCCGACAGACCGATTCTTATCTCACAGTTTACAGATTGCGGATGTTTCAAATATCTAACAAAAGAGACTAATTCATGTAAAACTCCGGTTAAGGCTCAATTTATGTAGGTTCATTTGAATGTTCAGGGATGAAATTGAAAGTATAGTATATATAAGTCACGTGATAGTCGAGTGCAGAGGGGATTGTACCACGGAAAAACTAAATTCCTCAACTGATGTAATTGGATTTGTCAATTTGTAGATATTTTAAAACTATTAAAAACAAAGGTGTTGATTTTTAAAGGTTAGACAATCACAATTGTGTTATAATTGAGTTAGGCGGCGATCATTTTACTTTAAGACGCGATTATCCCAAAAGAAACGATCGCTAATTCATGAACTGGAGAATTCTGGCGTCTTATCCGAAATCTATCTAAAATCCATTCTATTGTTGTATAGTAGTATGACTTGGCACGTTCCTTGATTTCTAGCTCTTCCTCCGCCCCATTCCTAGATTAAATGAAGAGGCAATATGGATAACAACAGACACAATACTATTACAGTATTACTGATTACACACGTTCAATCCTGTCAAGTAATGAGTTGATAATTGTTTTGAATCTGCTTTCGTTGAAATATTTTTGACTACCAATTTGGATATATTAATACATAATTTATACATAAATAATATAAATAATAAAACCATCTTTTTCGTGAAGATAAGCTGATCTTCTCTAAGTTACATATGACTTCTTGAAATCACACTAATTTAGCGGGCAGCCTGCAAAGTCAGGCCCTCACCAGCCTATATAATTATGAGTCTGTGAATAAAATACCTAGTGTTAATGCTTTTCATACAAAGTTACAACAAAGTCTTCATGTTATGTATCCTGGGTTTTGACAGGATATTTCATATTACCCGCTTAAAATATTTCCATCGCGTTACATAATACTCAATAAATGTAATAGATTTGTAGTGTTGTAATAAGCAATATGTAGTCGTATCAAATTACCATGGTCCATGACACTAGTCCCACTCTAGGAACACTAAGAACATCAGCCTTTAGTACATATTTCGTAATCTGAAATACAATAGGTTCCTATAATTCCGCTTCCTACTATCATAGTTCTGCTACTCTTAGCTCAGAAGCAATTGCGTCGACTTGAGTTGGTAGTTGGTTTTGTTGTGTTTGCGAAGCAATTTGTAGAAGTAGTTGTATATATATACCCTGGGCTAAATATTGAACCTAGTTTAGATGTATTGTTAAAATTGGTCGCCGTTCGTTCAGTGTCGAAAGTTTCACTCAAAGTTCTTTGAGTTAAGCTACAGGCCTATGTTTCTCTTAGATACTGATTTCATTTAACCCCAGCCATCAACAAGTTGACCAACTGTCCAATACCGTGCACTATAATTAATCTATTAGTCTATAATTAGTGTGCAAAGGGAATGATTCGGAATCAGCCTTCAAAATACATCGATTCAAGATCGGTCTGCACTGGAACTTCGAGTAATTTCAAAAGTTCGAGTGTAGAGTCAAAAGTGATTTAGCACTCTCAGTGCAAATGCACATAGTCCAGTGTGATTGCACCAGTCTTCAAGGTGTTTGTAACTGTATACATGTATTTACATAAACGGCCTTCAACAAATTACAGCTCCGAAAGTATGTGTCTATATTACTATACATTTTCTAATTTGCTAAACATGATCTGTAGTTCGACTTGTTTTATTGTTAACTTACTGTTTTGAAAAACATAATAATACCTAATACTAATAGTAGGAGTTAAGACAGATAATTTGAATTTTAGTTTACAGTGAATTATTAACTACCGTGTTACCAAGAGAGTTATATAATGTAAAGATGTAATTGCGCAGAGTAATTTGGAATATTAATTTTAGTGTAATGCCTTCGCTAAGCTACAAACACCTACAATCAGTTTTTGCTCGGGAGGGTAAGAAGAGCTTAGGAACGCTGAGGAATCTTGCATGGGGGAAACCAAATATTCAACGTTATTATTTACTAACTTAAAGATAACTTTAATAATGACACTCTGTAACTAAAAGTAATGTTGGTTTTGCTAGCGGGATAAAATATTAATCCCTAACAGCGTTGAGTCACTCACGTCTCACATATGAACACGTCAACATTCAATTAGTACACTTCGCTGACAGGCCAGTATCCACAATGCTTGTGCTGTGTTGTACATGCAATTGTATAAAATTATAATCCAGCTGTGTACACTGGGTTTATGTATAAAACGTCTTTATCCGTGTTGTATTGAGGACTGAATGTAGTTTTAAAGTTTAATACTGACGAAGTGTGATTGCGTTAAGCATTAGCTGGGCTAAGTCCGCAATGTTTTTGTCAAGATGTCAGGCAATGTTCTCATTCAAAATATGGGAGTTTTGTGTTCTGAAAAAATTAATTGTTTATGTCTCCTGTCTTGTTTTATTTTTAAGTTAGATACTTCTGAAGATAGCTGTGAGTTGGTTTTATGATTCAATTTTTACGGTAATTTTCCGATTTTGATCTAAAACAGTCGTTTTGGGCCTTGGTTATTAGAATACACTTGTAAAAAGTTTAAAAAGCTTCGCGAAGTGCATACTCATTACTCATTACTCAATTACACTCGGCGGTTAATACTTTAATAATCGGCGTGCTGCACTCGTCAGTCAAAAATAACATAGGTCCTTAATAGTAATACAATAAGTTCAGTAAGCGTACGCAGCTGTTCTCCAATTTTTCCAGTTTAGTTTACAACTAAGGTGTTCAGGTGTTGAGCTGTAATTAAATTTGATCAATGATAAAATATCCCATGTGCTCATTTCAAGATCCTTATTCCTTTGCACTTTTCTTCGATAACTTTACTTTTCTTCGATAACTATACTAGTGGTATAGAGTAAAACCTAAAGCTTATAGCACGTGTAAATATTATATATAATTTCGGTTTGATCTAAATTACTGCGGGCCTATATGGCTGCGGCAGGTGTAGACGGTTATTGGGCTCCCCTACAATTTGTAGTGGGGGGGGTGGGCACAGTATAAGAGTTAAGACTGTTTATTCTGATTCGTTAAATGGGGTAAGACCAACAATACAGTTTTGCATTATTTTACATATAATATGTTATAGCTGTTATGATTTTTTTCCTCTGCAAGTTAAAACTGAATCAGAGTAATTCATCGTTTAATTATACAATTTTGTCTATTATAAAACAGTTTCTTACAATAAACTTTACATCAACTGTTTCATCGTGATTGTAATTATCGTCTAAAACATGAATCAAGCTTAAACAAATCCAGTTTCCAAGGTGGCGATTAAAATCGAATCTATTCGTGTAGGTTCATTTGTGTGGATTCCAGTTTTTACGGTTAGGATTAAGGTACAACCGTAACTCTAACATTAACCGTAACCCTATCCGTAACCATAAACACCAAACAGCCAAATATGCGTTTAACTGGCATGTCACGGGACAAAAATAGTTATTGCTCAGAACTCTTCAAAGAAGCATTTTTATACTAAGGTATGGGGTGATTCGGAATATATAGTTTCCACAAACCTCCAGGGCCCTTTTGCAAGAAATACACGTATATATATAGGTTTATATGCGAAACTTTCAACCTTATTAATAGGTGTATTCCGTGTAAAATTATCTTTATCCCGGTTGTTGCGACAAGTAAAAATGCTCTTATTAGGGAAAGGAGTTTACTCGACGTTTCAATGTAACTACATCGTATTCATGATCTAAAAACAAGTGTTAAAAATTCAAAAATTTTGCCTCAGATATATGTTTTTTACGTTTTGAATTTTTAACACTTGTTTTTAGATCATGAATACGATGTAGTTACATTGAAACGTCGAGTAAACTCCTTTCCCTAATAAGAGCATTTTTACTTGTCGCAAAAACCAGGATAAAGATAATTTTACACGGAATACATTACAACAATGCGACTCATAAATAATACTCCAATCCGGATTTTACATGAACTTATTAATAGGTGAATACGATATGTATGATTTTTGTTGATCAACTAAAGTATTTAATCTTAAAACTCTTTATACCAGCTAGAAAAATAGCTGTAAAGAATCATCTTTTAGATAAGAATCATCATGTAAAGGGTTCAAATGGTTTCCCATCGCTTAAAAGACTGAAAGATGAGACCAAGCTTTCGGCGTTTGAACAGCATAATTTCTGATGGAGGGGACGATAAAGACGATTATAGTTCAATCCAACCCGATAACATTCCTATTCCCCTGGGCTTACCAATAGTATACTTTCATGACGATGGTCCTGACAATAACCACGATACCACCATTTCGAATTTTGAACTTTGTCAAGACGATCATGGCAAAGATCAGTTTGATCGAAGAAAGAAGACAGGATTCCTATCAAAAACTGGTCACAAAAATAAAAAGGTTCATGACATTTCCAAATCTGCAGACTCGGCAAATCTTAAGCAGGCATCTGAAAGTCAACAATTGGTGCTGAGAGATCTGCAAAATAGAAGGAGATTATCATGGCGAGAGAACGATCCCCAGTTTCAAGATAGCCGCGAGGGAATTGGTGATTTACTGACTAGTCTCAGGAGTAGACGTTTAGCTGCAGAAAATTCCAGTGAGAGTGACGACCTAAAGGATAGTGTAAGTGAGGATTGGAGGTCAGATATAACTGTAAGCAGTGATCAGACTGGTACCGAAGACAACGCCGTCAACCGCAAATCACTTACCCTTGAGGAATATAAATCACTTGCCAGATCTTTAGAAGGTTTTTCTGAAGGTGCACCACCTCCAGTGCCATCATCAAAACCACCATCAGTACCTGTCTTAGCACCTCCAGCTCCTCCAGCACCTCCAACATCACAAGCTGAAACACTCCCATCACCTCAAACTCTGAGGAAACCACAAGCTGACCGTAGTTCTACTCGTACACCTCAAACTCTAAGGAAACCACAAGCTGACTGTGGTTCTACTCTTACAGCATCTCCAGTTCCCTCAATTAATAACCACCCAGAAGCTCCAACAATTCCCATCCCTCCTCCTCCTCCCCCTCTTCCTCCACACGCAACTGCCATTCGCCGAACTAAAGAGAAAAGACGCCAGCCTTTCAAAGAGAAGGTAAAACCTATAACTCCCACTGGAATCAAATCGAATTCAAAGCAAAGTAGAGATCGGTCTTTCGTCACTGCCAGCTCGCTTCAGAACGAAATAAAGCGAAGAAAGATGGGAAGACCTATTAAAAAGAACAACAGAGTTATTACAGCTGCTAGGTTAAAAACAGAAATAAAAGCACGAGAAGAAAGAGCTAGAAACCTAACCCCAGATCAAAGATTTGAAAGGCTGCAAAGGTTATTTCTCATCATCCAAATGGGAAGTGTTATTGAGATGGAATCTTATCTTGAATACTACTGCAATCCAGTAGAAATCGTACCAAAATTTGGATGCAAAACGAAATATCATTCGGAAATAAATCTGGTAAACGCTCGTGATCATTTCGGAAATTGCCCTCTCCTTCTGTCTTGTAAAATGGGGTCCTCCAGAAACGATATGACAATGATGCTCCTGAAATACGGGGCCAATCCGAACCAAGTGGATGAAAACAAGGATTGTCCTTTAGTCTATGTAGGCCAATCCGTGAGTTTAAGACCTGATGATGGAAATATTAGGATTCTTCGGGAATTACTACTTCATGGAGCAGACATCAAGCAGGCAGTGGATACTTTGTGTGATACTCTGGAAACTCCCAACAAAGAATCTCGCACCGCAATGATGTCCCTTACAGCCCTTATCCAACCTGAATTTTTGATGCTTACTAAGGACCCAATAAAAACTGCCCATCAAGTTAATGGTATGCTTCTCAAAGTTGCTTCGATTAAAGAGGAATACACCACTGACTGCAACATCCTCGCTAAGTCAGCCAGAGATTTCACCTTTGCTTACTTGGATGCCTGTCGTACGCTTTGGGAAGCAAGGCGTTTGCTTTGTGGTTCCAACTACATTGAAAACGCTCTGGAGACTCAAGAAAAAAAGTTTTTGTCGCATCCATTTTGCCAAGAAATAGTTCTTGAAGAGTTTTATGGTAATAAAGATTTTAAGAGCTACAAAAGAAAAGCTCTTTTCATTTCTAAATCGTTCACGTCCTTCTTTGTGGGACCAATATACTTTTTATTGCTAATCAAAGACTACTTGGTTTCGGGAACATGGCGATTTAAATATAGTCGTTTAGATTATCTTTCCCGGAGTATTTCCACACCATTCTACTCTTTTCTTGCTGATTTTCTTAACTATGCCATCCTTCTGGGTCTTCTTCTCTACGTTGCTTTAACAGTTCCTGACAACTTGGATTTGAAGGATCAAAAAGGGGGCGAAAGTGATCGTGATTATGCAGAACGTTTTCTTCAAAGCAATGCCAAAATAGAATTGCCGGAAATAATTCTTTGGCTATGTGTACTAGCACGAATCCAACTGGAAGTGTATCAACTTTGCATGAGGGGCGCCAAAAAATACTTCTCCAACTTCTGGAACAATGTTGATGTACTGATTTGCGTCTTGATGATCGTAGCTTTCGCTATAAGATTTTGGAATTGTACTCTGGCTGTAGACATATCAAAGATAGAAGATGAGGTGCAGCTGATTACACCCGAGGAATTGGTGGAAGGTTTTAAAACTAGTACCATGACCTCAATCTACTTATATAGTAAGTACTGAGAACAAAGATATTTACTAGGGGTCATAATTGCAGACATAGTGAAAATATTGGTAGCCAACGAAATTGAGAACTTATGAAGTGTTATTGTTAATAAGCCTTAAAATGTTAAATGTATCTTGATGTTATCTTGATGTTATCTTATTTCAAACTAAATAATATCTATTTGCAGGTATAACCCAAGTGTTTGTGTTCTTCCGTTTGATGAACTTCCTGGACGTGATGAGCGTGATTGGGCCTCTACAACTTGCTGTTAAAAAGATGCTGAGTGATGTTGCTAAATTACTCGTCCTCCTTGTGATTATATTGCTAGGTAATACTATTGTTTATTACATATTATATTCTATGTTCTAGTTTTTTATATACTAGTTTTCTATATTCTAGTTTTTTAAATTCTAATTTATGGCAATATTTCTTAGTTGACACGATAAATCATATGGACTTAGTTCTGGTAATATAATAATATCCACTTAAATAACTCCTACACCGCAGGATTTGTTTGTGCAATACTTTGCATTGCCAGATGTTACAGAAAAGTTAAGGGCACACAGTACTATGAGCAGTTCAGCACATTTGAAAAAGCTCTCGTCAGCATGATCTGGACTCTTTTTGACATCTTCAGCTATGACGTACGGTTAACTTACTTTAATTTCTATAAATTTAATAAGTATAACAAATAAATGAACTTCTATAAATCAAGTATTTTGAAACTTGAAGTGTGCAATGATCCGAAGTGTGCAATGATCCGAAATGTGTTCACTAAACATATTATCTTCTTTTTATTATATCATCGACACTAAAATACAAAATTTTATTAATATTTAATTAATTAATTAATAAGTTATCAATGACATGTTAATTCTTTAAAATCTATCCCTCCAGCGTACTCAGCTGTTGGTGCTATCATCATTCTCCACACTATAATTAACTAATTAACTAATTAACTAATTAACAATCTGCCCACACCAAAAGGACTTATCAAGGGACCATATGGTGACATATTGGATTGTCCTGGTGTTAGTGTTAGCGTACTCAGTTATCGGAGCTATAATCATTCTGAACACTCTAATTGCGATGCTGAATAACACGTTAGTACCATGTTTAGTGTTTAAATTGTCCGTAAGAATTGTTTGTGACAATTGACATGATATGCCTTTTATGGTTTGCACACCTGTACTTTATTTTTCTATACCGTGCACTAAGTGCACGGGTTAGGAAAGAAAGTGCACTTTCAATTTCCCCCGAGAGGCAGCTGGTAAATTAAAGTTATTGTTATGTACTTTTGACAACTTGAAGTTTAATGCTGATCATGAGAGAGAAACGAATTTCACTGTTTTCACTATTTTTTGCGATTTTCACAGGTATGTGAACATACAAAGTAACGAGGACACAGAGTGGAAGTATTCTAGATGTCAACTTTTTTCGGTTAGTTAATTACTAATTGCTTAATTGGCATGAGCTTCTGATAATAATTTATCTTTCATTATACTATTATATAAATGATACGCTATTTTACATGCTATAAATCTATTGCAATATTTGATTAGTTTTCGACAACATTTAAGTGTACAATAAATAAAAAACTATAACGTTGATAACAATGTATCGTTCTAGGAGTATAAGAAGGGAATACCATGGGTGTTTCCCTTCAGTTTGATAATGGCCCCAATCTACATTGTTTACCGTGTCTTCAAGAAAGTCAAAAGACGTGAGTGTGTATTGGCTTTTTGCTCCTTTATAAAAAATATTGCTTTTTAAAATCATTTTTTTATGAGCACCCTGTATACAATTTTTCAGGTCACCAGTAATCTCGATATGTTAATTTTGGATCCAGCCCTTTATATGATACTTGAAATACTTTATATTTTACTATATAAATTACTTAAGTTTCGTCCTTTGAGTTTCTTAAGTTTCGCCCTTTTGACTGGTACTTTATATTTTTAATGTAAGTGAGCTATCGAGTATACTTTCAGGAACAAAGGCGAGAGTATATTTGGATTACGATCATTTGTTGGAGAAACAACAAGACCATGAAGCTGACACAGTGAGGGAATTGTTTAACTTTATTTTTTATTTTTTATTGTTTACCTATTTTTAATCTTTTAAATTGTATAATTTCACTGATGAAATTTTTTGAAATTTAAAATTTTCCAGGCCAGTGTTGAAGAAGATGGTGGTTCATCAGGGATAACGTCTCTCAACATTGACAATGATTCTGTTGTACAGGAGCTGAAGATGCGATATTTGCTTATCAACGAACTAACTAGGAGAGTGGATATATCAAAACGCTAATATTTAATTTTGTATTATTTTCTGTCTTGTGATATTTGGTAGAAATACCGTTTTGAAAACTTCTAAAATTCGCAAATAATTTAGCGTAAAATAAGTTTACATTAGCGATATAATCTAAAGTTGTTCTTTATAAAGTTATAATAATAAGTTATGCTATTATAATGACAGTTTGCATTTTCAACTCATGACTCTATTTTTAGTCACTTTAATTATTTTTGCCTTTTATTTGAATCTGATCTGAGAATGTGGTTGTAAACGTACTTTTAATTACCTCCCCATGGCCAAAGAAACTCAGATTAATTTTCTGACAGAAAGCCAAAAATTTACCAATATTTAATCGACCTTGAGTACGGAGTATAAGCCAAGACTGCAGCCTAACAATTATAATGAATAATTTGTCGCAACTTTATTTTTAGATACAAATTTAAATTCCAAGATTTATTGAATTTGCATTTTTATTGTTGCATGCATATGTTCATTTACCAGTCTACTTCGTAGCACTGGCTTTTTCGAGAAGAAAACGGCGCGCGCTACTTCGAAGAAATTTAGACGAGTAACATCCGTCAAGTCACGTGACCGAAACGGTTTTTTGCCCATTATAACTCTCCAGGGAAGCATTTTTATCCTACGTCATGGGCCGGGGGTTGGGGGTGATTCGGAATAAGCGTCAAAAATTACCCCGATGCAGATCAATTTCATACCCAGAGGGCCTTTTCACAAGAGTTTTCTTAAAATTTGGGCGAGCGATTTAGTACTACTAAATGAAAATCGCTCGCCCAAATTTTAAGAAAACTAAATAATAATAAACAAATAAAATAAACAAACAAACTCGCTCCTACTAATAGTAGGAGCGAGTTTGTTTGTTTATTTTTCGCTTCTCCAATCGAATTAGATGATAGCGGTGCTTTATTGAAATAATGATCCATGGAGGTCCAGTAAAAGTCTTGGGTCGCAGACTGACATTAAGCATAGAATCGTCTTCTCAAATTCCACCTCATACTTATAGTTATAGTTATATAGATCATTTGGCTTAAAACAGCTCGGGCTCCTTTATTTACATTGTTTTATTTACGTAGTTTTATTTCAGTTACGTTGTTTTATTTACGTTGTTTTATTTACGTTGTTTTATTTACGTTGTTTTATTTACGTTGTTTTATTTACGTTGTTTTATTTACGTTGTTTTTTTTACGTTGTTTTATTTACGTTGTTTTATTTAATTTGTTTTATTTACGTTGTTTTATTAACGTTGTTTTATTTACGTTGACCAATGACCACTCTTTTACAGTTTATTATTAAACTTTCAAGCAGTAAACTATTTTGTTTTCTATATTCTATCAAACTTTTTAAGTACACTGCCGTTCCCTGAGAAAAGGCAGTAAGTCCAATTTTCGAAATTTTGAGATTATATTGGTACCAAAATTTTCAGGAGAAAATTCTTTACAACTTAAGCTATGGATCACGTTATAAAAATTATAACATTTTAAACATTTTAGCTGTCACAAAAGACAGTAAGTCACTTTAAACATGAGAATTTATCACGTTATTCCAAAATCTTACCTGAGAAAAGGCAGTATGAGTAAGTCTGGACTTTATTTGCAGTTTTTACATTTTTTGGCCTATAACTTCCACAGCTTTAGTTATATCGAAATAATTTTGATAAGGTTTAATTGGGTTAAGTTGTCGGTCACCCTTCATAAGAGCTATACACACTGATGATGTTCACTGTTTAGGCCTGTAGCAGTAGACATGATAAAATATCAATACAATAAGCAGTACCTACGTTGTAACACTAACCAGAGTAAACAAGATAAGAAGTAACAAGATTAGACAAGTTATTATCAGAAATGAAATGCAATTGGCATATCCTACCAGGCCCAGGATTTGTTTGCCAGTCTGGTAATCTAACTATTCTATGATGAACCTCTCGCTATTAGGGCAGTGTTTTATATCAACAGTGTAATTTTAATAATGGCGATGCCCTTGACAATTACACAAGTTAAAAGATATGCAAATAAACAAGTTGTGGAGCTGTCAAAAGTTTGCTCTTTCTAGTTTCTTTCTGCATTTTGTTAACTATGTTATTTTGACTAATAAGATCGTGGTAGCGTCCAGGTGGCTAAATGTAATTTGCACGTAGGGGAACTACGGGTCAAATGAACCTCTTGGTCAAATGGTACACCAGTCATATCAAAGAGAGGGAAGGGCAGAATGATCCAATTTCTTATTTGATGATTGATAAAAATGATAACAATGTCTTGTAATGCCCGCTCAACATTCCAACGTAATCCTGTATGTAGTCCTGTTTCACTAAAATTTTTTCCTTTTCACCCTTTTGAAAAAAGGCAATAGTGAAAGGTTACGAATGTACGTTTTTGCAGAAAAACGTGGATTTTGGAGATTGCAGTAGGTGGGTCTGAGTATGTCGTGTTCCTTCCGTTAGTAACCATGCAAACAAAAAGTTGCGCGCGCGAGGATTGCTTGCGGAGATGTGATGTATAGATAGCCTGTGATCTATGAATGCGCGGCGCAACTGTGTTATAATGTATACGATATAATGTATAATATTAGGTTATAAGCCCAATTTGTACGTGGCACGCGTAGTGTATATTGATGTGTACACGAGTATAGTTTACCTTTGCTTACAATTTAAGTTCTTTGCTTTACAAGTTAAGTTCTTTGGCAATTGAACTGAATTTCAAGTTTTTCCTGTACTTAATGCATAATTTATCAATATTATTATCATGAAGACTGAGTCTGAAGTGAGCTGATTGGAGCTTATACTTAAATTTATAGTAAATGTGAAATGGAAATCTAGCGTCCGCCAAAACGAAACAACGGGCGCAATTCTTGTTATCCTTCGTGTTTATCAGTTTATGATGATTTTCTATTGCATTATTATTCAATTTCATTAGTGTACTATTCACCATTTGTGAGGTACTTTCATTTCAAAACTAATATACAAATTGGGTTAGATGGCACATGGATAAAATTGTGTTTAATGGCATGTACCATTTGACCGAAAATAAGGTGTACAATTTGACAAAAACCGTACATTCATAATTCATTAGTAATTAAACGTTCATATTTGACTTTAATCACCACCATAGCAAGCACTGAATAACTTTCCATAATTCAGTAACTTGGATTTTGTCATGGTAAGAAGCAAACGCACGTCTCCCCATGTGAATGGCTACAAGTAAAAAAGAAAGACCACAAGACAAAATTGGAGCCAGGCCGACATGGCAAGAGCGATCAAAGCTGTCGAAGATAACGAATGTGGGTATCAGAAAGCTAGTTCTCTGTACAATGTGCCAAAGACTACACTAGTTAGAAGAGTTAAGGGTATTAACAAGCTTTCTAAGGGTGCAAGTAAAATGATGGGCAACAAAAAATCAGTGCTTCCGCAAGATCTTGAGGAAAAACTCGCTGAGCACATTTTGAAAATGGAGGAGTCTTTGTTCGGGCTAACCTACCTTGATGTTCGAAGGCTTGGGTATGAGTTAGCGGAAAAAATGGTTTTAAACACAATTTTAACAACGATAAGAAAATGGCAGGTCACTACTGGTTATATGGGTTTTTAAGAAGACACCCCCAGATTTCATTGAGACTGAGAGCCCCTGAAAAGTGAAAATACATCAGCTGCTAGATCGATATCATTCAACAAAACGAATGTTGACAGCTTCTTCACCTTGTATCAGAGCCTGATGGATAAGTACAAGTTCCCACCGAATAGAGTGTATAATTGAGAAGGGAATAACCACTGTTCCGAATCACCCCCTAAGATCTTAGCAAGGACAGGCAAGAAGCAAGTTGGAACAATGGCAAGTGGTGAAAAAGGAACAAACACAACAGTCATGCTGTGCGGCAGTGCCGACGGCAACATGGTCCCTCCAATGTTCGTCTTCCCGAGGGTAAAAGATAATCCGGATTTACTTCGAGGTGCACCTGTCGGAACCATTCAAGCAAACAAACAATCAGGATGGATGACTAAAGACTCATTTATTGTCTGGCTCAAGCACTTCATTGATTTCATCGGCTGTTCACAATCTCGAATAGCACTTCTCATCTTGGACGGACATAGCACACACACTTAATCAATTGAAGCCATCACTATTGCAAGGGAGAACGGTCTCCATGTGATATGTTTGCCGCCCCACTGCACCCACAGACTCCAACTTCTCGATGTAACTTGCATGAAGCCGCTTTCAACAGCGTTTGCCAGGGAAAGCCAGCTTTGGCTCCGTGAGAACGGTCGGAGCATCACTATTCATCACATTGCAGAATTATTTGCGAAAGCTTACACCAAGTCTTTCACACCGCAAGTTCTTCTATCGGGATTTGAAAAATGTGGATTATGGCCAATCAGAGCTGATATATTCAAAGGAACATATACGTCAGCCCACCAAACTTCTTGTAGAGTAGAAGATGCGATTGACGGTGTTTCTGCTATTGACTTGAACAGATCAGTTCAAAGTAACCAAACCCTGCCCGAGGATATCATACCCGTTCCAGTGACAAGGAGCTGCTGCTATAGTGACTTCAAGTCCTTACCTGAAACAATTGACTCTTGAGGAAGAGAACAAGCTGTTGAAGGAGCAGGCTAAAGGCTATCGGCGTGAGCTCAAGGTTATGAAAAAGCAGCTTAAACTCGAAGTTAATGATGAGCCTATCGGTAAAATAAAAACATTTAAGAGTAAGAGAAAACTTTTCTCCTCCAAGGTCCCTGTCAAGAAGAATAAAACGAAGAAAAGAAGGAGAACGTTAACCAAGTACTGAACGTTGGCGACCAAAAATACGTGAAAAGCCCTAGCAAATCTTCTTCCCTTACTTGCGACGATGTTCCGGCCGGTCAGTTCATTTTAGTAAAGTTCACTGACACAGATGTTTCTAGCACTACCGAGCCAACTTCCTCGAAAGATATTAAACCTGTTTATTATGCTGGTCATGTTATGAAGCACGCCCCAAAGTCGGAAGTTGTGACTAAATTTTTAAGGAGAGCCGACCTTAAAAAGAGGGGACAACTTAAGTTCACCTACCCTGACGACGAAGATATTTGCAAGCACCATTTAGAAAAAAATTGTGCTACTATTGCCGAGGCCAAAGTTGCCAGTAGGAGGTCGATCTAAGAGACTTGAGTCAATCTTTGAATTTGATGATGACCGAATGAATGAGTTCAATCCTATTATGTGAGACTATAACTGGTTTCAAAGAAATTAGAAATTAGAAATTAGAAATTAGAAATTAGAAATTAGAAATTAGAAATAAGAAAGATCATTACTCAATTACATGTGTCAGATCCCGATCAGTTAAATGAAAGTTATTCAAATGAATGTTGTCCTTCAATCAAGGTTGTTTTATGCTTATAACTGTTTTTATTTTGTAACTGTGGATCATTTACTTGTCTAATAAATACTAAAGAAGTCCCAAATTTAATTGTTCAGACA